CATATTTACAGGATGTGCTAAAGAATACTTTGAGCTTCTGTCTCCTTAAAACAATTGTGATAGCGGTGTGTGGGTGGCTCAGTCGGTTAAGCGTCTGCCTTGGGCTCAGGTCATGATCCCAGTGTCCTGGGATTGAGCCCAGATCTGGCTCTCTGCTCAGCAGGGAGCCAGCTTCTCCCTCTCCCTCTGCCTGCCGCTCCCCCTGCTTGTGCTTGTGCACGGGCACACGCACGCTCTGTCAAATAAATAAAATCTTAAAAAAAAAGTTGGTGATAAAATCACAGACTGAAACCTGTCTATAAACTTCATTCCTAGATCTTACTTAATTTTGCTTACTTCTATTTTCTAATGACAAGTTGTATTCTATTTGCAACCAACAGTCCAGTAATAAAGCCCTCTGAAACCTGTATCTAGCAGAGAGGGATTAGACCAACCTCAGAAGTAAACAGGATGATATATGGGTTAGGTTGTTTATAATAAAGTTTCATTATCTTGATTATTATTATGAATTCTCAGACTATAATATATCTTCAAATTACCATATACATAGTTTTAAGGTTTGTTAAAATTTCTAAAAACTACAGAAAGGCAAAAGAAATGCTTCTCTTGTATCAGTTCCCATTACATTAGAAATGTACTTTTTCCAGATAATCTGCCTTTATGAATTAAATCAAAGAGCTTAGATGACTACATTCAAAGTTCATAAGGGACCAAAATAGTAATATATCCAATCCATTTGAAAGCGATATGGTTTGGGCTTTACTAAAGGTTGTACAAGGCTAGATTACGAGGCTGCTGCAAACCTGGGAAATCTACCAGATGCATAAGATGAAAAAGAGAAAATGAAAAGACAAAAGTAAATACATTTTCCATTTTGTACAACCATTCAGTAGTAATGTAACTAAATTTAGTTAACCACTAGTTAACTAGTTAATCATGCAAAAGTAACCATTTAGGTTTATCTCTTTACATGAATCACATTACTTTCGGTAAATTAAAATACTTGTTAAAAAGTAAAAGTGCTTTTAATTAAAAATTACATTTATTATGACTACAGAATCTTAGGCACTTAACTGAAATTAAGGCAAGGGTCACTGTAGAAGTATTAAAAATGGTATAGAAAAGCAGGCTTTATCAAAGTATCATATCACCAAAGGCTGATACATCGTGCCTGGACTATGCTTCCTTCTCACTTGTGATTAGTGTGTCTTATTCTTTTCACCTCAATCTATTTGGATGGCATGGGGTGAGAGGATAACAGGCAGCTTTTACACAAACACAAACCTTCTCCTGAGACATCTTCTGAGTGATGTATTAACATGTTAAAATCATGAAAAACCTTTCCAAAATTACAATGATATATACATACCCTTTCAATACAAAAGCATTGTCATTATCATTGATGGCATACAGCTTTCTTCACATTCTTTTTCCTTTCACAGAAGAATTCAATTACAAACAACACTACACAAGTAGTGACTCAATATAAAGTAATTTCTGCCAAATTCTAACGTGATCAATCCTCTATGTACGGAAAATGTATACCATCAACTTGCATGACAAAGAGTCCCAGTGTCTAACGGGCTTAACACTCATATCTCAGTCATGGCTGCATGGCCGGGAAAATGAACACCATGATGGACTCCTGCATTCTTCACATTGTGCTCATGGACAAAGTCAGTGTAGTTTCTATGTGCAGGCTGGGGTGGGGACAAGGCCCTTGTGTTCCACTGGTTTCCACCACGTTGACAGCAGTCACTGGCAGCAGAGAGCCTGGATGGTTGGGGAGTGGGAGGGGAGCACAGTTAGTCAACAGGAATAGGAGAAAATGGATGTGTAAGAGGTAATAAAGGAGAAAGGCAGTGTGACCAGCATGCACCACTGCTATGAGTAGTTATTGACATCTACTCCATGCAATGACTTACAAGAATGGGGGTGGGGGGGTAGAATCCACAAAGTTATATGTAGTGGAAAAGCTCAATATGGAAATATGAGTAAGCAATTAGAGTCAGTTAAGTGAATTAAATAACGAGGAAATTTCACAGAGAACAAAATACTCTATCTGTCCCTGATGTTGGTACCAAAATCAAAGTTAAAAATATTGTTTGAAGTTCTAATGAGAAGGAAAAAATATTTATGATCTAATTTAATTCAAGTATTTAAAAGGACACTTCTACATTATGGACAAAGGCACATACAGAAAAGAGCAACTATGAAAATTATTCCCCAAATTAAGTGATTTCACAAAACTGAAATCCAGGAAACAAAATTCAGAAAGAACATTAAAAAAACAAAAAAACAAAAAGCTACCTTCAGAGGCAATGTAATTTTACGTCAATGTTTCCAATTAACAATGGAGAATCATTGTTCCTTCTATAATCAAAGTTCACAGGACCTCAGAATCAAATTCAACAGGTACAGATAATGTGATGAAATTGTAAGCCCCTCCAAGGAACAGTTTAGTAAGTATAGTAAGATACCCTTATCACACAGTGCTATAGAATAGGCCTACAAAACTATGAGAGTGAAGCATGCATACAAGCAGTTCCTGGTGAGAAATAATTAGATCCTCCAGTAGAAAGAAACATTTGTCACAGTTCAGAAAATCAAGGTTTTGCAACACAGCAAAAAGGGCAGCACATATTTAAGATAATTATAAAGAAAAAAAATCAACCCAATTATAAAAGATGTCTAAGGATAAATTTTTAAATACAGTATTTTTCTAACTCAACTAAAACATGAATCCTCATCTTTTTTTCCTTAAGGAAACTGAAATTAACTAAAAGGATTTTTCAGAACAAACTTGAATGCTTTTTTTACAATAAAATCATCATCTTTTCTTCAACAGATATATAATTTGTTCATCAGATCTATCCCATAAAATTCATGACTCTCAATATATGGTCTCTGAAAATTTAGGAAATTAAGTTAGGTTTATATTCTCCCTGATATATGCAAGATTTCGCAAATATTATTCAGTTTTGTTTTTGTTGTTGTTTATAAATGGTTTAATGGACGTAATACATAAATTGTTTCTCCAAAGGTGATACTCTAAATATCAGATAATTCTACATTATTGATAAACCAAATCATTCACTGAAATAATGGTGTCATTTAGAAGACATCACTGAGAGAAAGCTAAAGAACTGAACGTGAAGTAGGTTTAGATTAAAATGGTTAGAAGTTATCTACCTGATAATAGTCTGTTATTCTGCCCAATTGTTCAAACCTTGGGAGCATTTCCAAATTTTATTAACTTATCACTTTCTAAAGGAGGACTGTTTTATATTCATTTAAGAGCATTAATAACAATAAAAGCATGCAGAAACAAAAAGTGAAATATAGAATGCACTTTAAATTCAGGCTAGGGAATCCACTGGCTCCAAGACAGAACAGTTCTATATTCAGTTCCATGCCACTGCTGACACACACTGAGGCTCATCAGGTTTTCAGGATCACCATTTTACTCCATTTCCGCAAAGGAGGTCTCAGCAAAAGTATATAATGGAAGGACACATAGCTCCAAATTTTCCATTTTCCTTAAAATTAAATACTCTCAGATTCAGTATTGTCTCTTTTAAAGGCTGTGTCAAAGGAACTACGGAGTGCCTAATAAATCAAATTAAATAGATTTAAATATGTGCCCATTAAAATTATAAAACTCAATAAAGATTTAGTGTCATAATATAGTACGCAAACCCTCTCCCAGATTCTCATTCCATATTAATATAAAAGGTAAGCATGTACTAAGGGAGTTCTTTTATAGGTGAAGTCTGGTTTCCTTGCCAATAGGATTTGGTGGTAACATCAAGGCCATAAAACATAGCTGCTTACTGGAGCTGTGTTTTCAGTAAGAAACTGAAGAAACTCTTTAATGGCTTAAAAAAATAAAGACTAAAATTTGATATTTAGAAGCCTCACTGTTCATACTTTAAGTGTGTGCCCACATGCGCACACACACACAAAGTACCCCTCTACCACACTCTCAGGTAAAAGGAAAAGAAAAAAATGGTAAAGAAAAAAAATCCCTCAATCTTAGAAATTAATCAAGTTATTTGGAACTGAAGTAAAAATATGCCCAACCACGAAACAGCAAAGCATCTTGCAAGTTAGTTAAGCCAAAATAACAGTGAAAAACAATTTCATAGCAAAGACTGAAAATAATCACCAACCACTGTTGACCCACCACCATGAAGGAAGAACTGGTTGCACAGAAAGCTGACCAAAACCTTGAGATCACCACAGAAACTCATTAGATTTCAGGGACTAAACAAACTAAGAGCAAGAGAAAAAGAGAAAAATCCTATGAATTATCAAAGTTCATTTCATAGACACACAACTTGAACAGATGCAACCAACATGACCATTCAACCAAATAATTCCCTCCAAGCCACATACACTTATTTGGGAAATGATGAACCCTACTGATTACACTCCAATAAGCCACAAAGTATTCATATTTGTGTACTAATTATGAATGTTAAAAAAAAAAGACCCTGGAAATCTAAACAAAGTACCTTCTCTGTCATCAGATTATCTCTCCATCCCCCAAAAGCATTAAAATATTTTTTTTCGGTTATAATCTTGTTTCCCTTTTGGCTTATCTTCAGTTTTTAATGAAAAAACACATCCAAAGCACTAGCATTACGTTGTGTGGAATAACATATGATGAACTTATTTTCCTTATTGATCTGAAAAAAGGTTCTACTGACTAGCATTGAAGTCCTTTTCAACAGAGAACCACCCACCACTTCCAATCATGCTAACCAAAATAAGGAGAGATATCTGATTTCTTCAATTAAATAATTGCATTCCCTTCTTCATACATATCCTTTATTTTCCCAAACCCAGTATGACTGTTTAATAATATGTTTCTGTTCAGCTTACAAATATGAATAATTTGCTTTCAATCATATTTAAAGTCTTCTAAGATCGTGGTTGGGAATTTAGAATACCATTAAGCAAGCAACATTTTATTCCAGTTTAAAGAGTTAACAAACCATTTCCTGTCATGCTGGTCTAATCCAGGATTCCTTGGAAGATTCTCTATCTCTGCCAGCACAGGACCAGAGGGAACAGAAGGAATCCCAGGCAGAGTAGATCTCACACCCCAAGCCTGTGGATTATAAAATTATAAAAATCATCTATTTTGCCTAGATAAAAGATTTCTTCACCAATAAACAGAACATTAAAATGGAATACTATCAACAAACATAGTGCAAACAAATGCTTGAATGTTATGTACTACCTCAGAGATAGATAATAATCTAACTAAATATTAATATCTTATTCATTAAATAGGATTTACAGGAACAGAAAATGTTCTATAGAGCACCTATTCTATTTACAACATCTCAGATAATAACAGAGGGTTTCATTATCTACTTTACAGATTAAAAAAAAGAAAACGCACAAAACCGTCCCAAAGTTACACCACTATGAAAATACAATTAATAATACCACTATTTGTCATAATTAACTAGTGTTCTAGTGTTTAGAAGCTTAGTATGATCTCACCTGTTGGGAGCCGTTACTCTGAGTTGAAACATTATTGTGAACACTGTAATGGGGAAAAATATCTATTAAAAAAACCATATATAAAATTCGAGGGCTTCACATTGTAAGATTATACATACAGTAATAAAAGCAGTTTTATTTTTAAAGGCATTGTTTTGTTGCAAATAAAGAAAAAATTACTGTTGGAACCTAAAACTAAAATGTAAGATGCCCAGAAAACATTTGTTTTTATAGACAAATACTTGTTTTTCTATAATCTGCTCCTTTGAGATTTCCATATACCTGTATTTTGTGCTTTAAATGTGTAGTTCACTACTAATCTTGTTTATTCATTGGACAGTATCTGTCAAAGATGCAAAATGAAGAGCAGCACAAATGATACCTTAAATTCAAGGCATTGAGCACAAATATCCACATAAACTTATCTGTCACTTCTTTTTTTTTTTTTTTAAAGATTTTATTTATTTATTTGAGAGAGAGAATGAGAGACAGAGAGCACGAGAGGGAAGAGGGTCAAAGGGAGAAGCAGACCCCCTGCCGAGCAGGGAGCCCGATGCGGGACTCGATCCCGGGACTCCAGGATCATGACCTGAGCTGAAGGCAGTCGCTTAACCAACTGAGCCACCCAGGCGCCCCTATCTGTCACTTCTTTTGTATATTCCTACCCTCTCAAGATTTTCCACTGTCAGCAACAGCTCAACATTTTATAACTTAAAAGGCCTTAGTATAAACTTAAAGTCAGAAACCTCTCTGTATGCTTTCTACTCCAAATGATTTATAAGTATGTTTTTAAATTTTTAGTTTAGGCTGTATTCATTCCCCTCCTCCATCGCTTTCCCACAAAAAAGCACTTAAAAAACAATCTAAAACAAAATAATAAAAACAAACCTCAGGACAGCTGAGGAAAAAAGAATATTCAATGAAATAATTCAAAGATGACATATTATCACAACAAAATGATGGGAATAAAGAGTTTATGGACTTCAGTACATCAAAAACTAATGATGTAGTGTATGGTGATTAACATAATAAAAAACTACATCAAAAACTAATGATGCAATGTATAGTGATTAACATAACATAATAAAAAAAAAGTTTATGGACTTCAGAACTTCTAACATAAGCATACATGTATCCTGAGGTAAAAAATTCAACTAAGGTAACTGAAAATATGTTCAAAGTTTTATACATATATATAGACACACACACACACAATTCCTGGAAAGTGAGAAAATAATCTACAGATTTAATGAGAGCACTATGTTCCAGGAAAATGAGACAGGGAATTAAATTCATTCAATCCCTTACTGGATAAGGAAAGAATACTTAAGGTACCCCAAGGAGATTAAAAGGAAATCACTGCCAATATCTGGCTGGCACAGACCTCCTCATAGAAATATTCAAGAATATTATACCCAAGGACACCTGAGTGGCTCAATTGGTTAAGCATCTGCCTTCAACTCAGGTCATGATCCCAGGGTGCTGGGATCGAGTCCTGCATCAGGCTCCTTGCTCAGCAGGGAGTCTGCTTCTTCCTCTGCCTCTCCCCCTGCTTGTGCTCTCTCTCTCGGACAAATAATATTTCTTTAAAAAATAATAATATTATACCCAGCCAAGATGTCATTCTAGTAAAAGGGAACAGCCAGGGGTGCCTGGGTGGCTCAGTTGGTTAAGGATCTGCCTTCAGTTCAGGTCATGATCTCAGGGTCCTGGGATCAAACCCCATGTCAGGCTCCCTCCTCAGCTTGCTCTGTCTCACATAAATAAAATCTTTAAAAAAAAAAAACAGAAAAGAAAAGACAAAAGGAAATGGGCAAAGCTTCTCAAACCAAACTCTGAATACAGCATCTAGGAGCCTTTCTCAGAGGGGTGGGAGCAAAACAATCTGATGAAGGACAACCAATTAAGAAAGAACTCAAGAACGAAGAGGCTGGGGCGCCTGGGTGGCTCAGTCAGTTAAGTCAGGTCGGCTCAGGTCATGATCCCAGAGTGCTGGGATCGAGCCCCACCATCAGACTCCCTCCCTGAGTCTGCTTCTCCCTCTGACCCTCCCTGCCCACCCCCACTCATGCTCTCTCTCTCAAATAAATGAATAAAATCTTAAAAAAAAAAAAAAAAAATGAAGAGGTCTTGCTAAAGACTACGTGATGAGAAGTGAATCAATTTTATATCTTATTTTTTATTACCTACATCTTATCACAAGTTGAGTCACCAGAACTTGCAGTAGCATTGCCTGGATTCAAATCCAAGCTGTACCACTACCACTAGTTCTATTCTCTAAACCTCAGGTTCTTCATTTGCATGAAACTATTAGGAGGATTAAATGCATTAATATTAGCAAAACACAAAGAACAGTGATAAATAAAACTGACCAAAAAAAAAAAAAACTGTAAAAAAAAAAATATTGGTTAGTGTATAACTGTTGTCAAGACATTTGCAAAGAATATACCTGTCAGGCATAATTTCTTTGGACTAATGCTGACGCTCCCAGAACACATTATGCTGGTTTAAGTAACCCATAATCCCAGATATTATGAAATCTCATCCAACCTGCTTGGCTGGATGATCCCCTTGGTTACTCTTTGAAGCTTTTCCTTTAACTGAGAATAACTCCAGCAAGTGATAAATAAAAGATGAATAGTAATATGAAAAAAAGTGCTTATAATATGTGATCTCAATGGGATCACAGCCCCGTTTTCAAATAATTTGAAATGTAGAAAGCACTATTTTCTCATAATTACACATTCTTTCACTTCCACTAACACAAAAGTAGGAATGAATACTTCTCATTACTGATCTAATCCAAGCTTCCCCTTTCAAAGGACCACCTGTAATAACTGACCCCTTTTGCTCTTATGCTCTCTGTATTCATCACTTCCTCCTCCGTTCCTTCTTTTTCCTCTCTTTTCCGTCTTCAAGATTCTGTCAGCTAAGCCTGTACAAAAAGTATTAATCACTGAAATGTGATCTATCCTTTAAAATGTCACCTCTTCTTAGGATACTTTATACTAGTCAAGACTCATAGGGAATAGTTAGGAAATAAAACAGTATAAGGAAAACCGCTGACATCAGCCACTTTAAAAACCTGTTACTCAAATAGGCACATTACAAGGTCAAGAAGCTTTTTAGGTCAAATAGCTGTGCTTTTTCAAACAGTACTGTATTCCCTGGTTCACTGGAGCAAAACTGTTCATGCAAACAGAACTACAAGGGCAAAAATGAAAGGGCATTCATGCCAGTCCAAACTCAGGTTCTCTCAAGCAGTGTTATGAAGAGTGGTAAATAACCTTCAGGAGAGCTGGGTCCCCCTCTACATTTCACATCTAAAAGTTTATTGTAAAAAATAATAACAATAAAGTATCATTGCTTAAATATCCCATTTCTGTTGTGCTTTCCAGAGCCAAATGCATTTTTTCCTTTTATTTTTTTTTTTATTAACATACAGTGTATTATTTGTTTCAGGGGTACAGGTCTGTGATT